AGGTGGGGAGACTGGGGCGGGATGTGACGTGCACCGACTTCCGCGTGGGGGGCTGACGGAGTCGTGAGGGCTTTTTACAAAGAGGTCTGGGCTTCGGATCGGCAGAGGGGAGAAAACGCGGTTCGTCAGGAGTGAAGGTGGGACAATGAGGGAGGACTAAGTGGGCCCCCACACAGGTGCAGGGACCCCAATAACCCAGTTTTCACCCTGCTGTGGGCGCTGGGCCACCCCGGGCCCCAAGTGTGCGGCTGAGCCCCTCCCCCACCTTCTTCCTCGGGGACCCTTAGAGTCACAGACTGGCGAGACGGTGGCCCTTCAGGGCCATGTAGAGGGCGCGGCACTAAGGGAGGATAGTGAGAGGCCCTGCTATATTCCCACAGTGGCCCCATGGTCCGTCCTTGTTCCTGACAGCTCACCCCAATCCCCCATCCTGAGTTCCGGGTTTGAGATCGGCAGACGGGCGAAGGCCTAGTTCTGTTGGGAGTGAAAGACAGATGCTGAGAGAGGACTGAAGGGGACCCCACACAGGTAGAGGGACCCCAATAACCCAGCGCTTGCCCTGCTGTGGGCGCTGAGCCCCTCCCCCACCTTATTCCTCGGGGACTGTTAAGAGTCAGGGCCTGGTGAGACGGTGACCACTCAGGGCCACATAGAGGGTGCCATCCTAAAGGAGGAGCAGGAGGCCCCGCTATGTCCCCACAGTGGTCCCACGGTCCGTCCTGGTCCCTGACCACTCACCCCAACCCCCCTCCTGTTCCGTCCAGTCCCTTCAGTCAGCCCTGGGTGTCCTGTCCCTTGGGTTAGCCCTGGGAAGCCCCATCTGTGGCAGGCTGGGCAGGATTTGACAGCCCCCCTTCCACGTGGGGGGCTGAGAGAAGCCAGGGCCGTGTTCAGAGTTCCAGATTTGAGATCGGCAGAGGGGCGAGGACCCAGCTCTGTCGGGAGTGAGAGGGAGACGCTGAGAGAGGACTGAGTGGGACCCCACACAAGTAGACGGATCCCAATAACCCAGTGCTTGCCCTCATGTGGGCGCTGGGCCACCCCCGGCCCCATGTCTGAGGCTGAGCCCCTCCCCCACCGGCTTCCTCGGGGACCGTTAGAATCACAGCCTGGTGAGATGAGTGGCCACTCAGGGCCACATAGAGGGCGCAGCCCTAAGGGAGGAGTGAGAGGCCCGGCTATATCCCCCCAGTGGCCCCACGATCCATCCTGGTCCCTGACCACTTGCCCCAACTCCCCTCCTGTTCCGTCCCTTGGGGCAGCCTTGGGTGTTCTGTCCCGTCCCTTGGGGCAGCCCTGGGAAGCTCCATCGGTGGCAGGCTGAACCAGATGTGACCCCCCCTTCCACGTGGGGCGCTGAGAGAAGCCAGGGCCGTGTTCAGAGTTCCAGGTTTGAGATCGGCAGATGGGCGAGGGCCCAGCTCTGTCAGGAGTGAAAGGGAGACGCTGAGAGAGGACTGAGGGGGACCCCACACAGGTAGAGGGACCCCAATAACCCAGCGCTTGCCCTGCTGTGGGTGCTGGGCCACCTCGGGCCCCACATGTGCGGCTGAGCCCCTCCCCCATCTTCTTCCTCAGGGACGGTTAGGGTCACAGCCTGGTGAGACAGGTGGTCTCTCAGGGCCACATAGAGGGCACGGCCCTAAGGGAGGAGTGAGAGGCCCTGCTATATCCCCACAGTGGCCCCACCGTCCATCCTTGTTTCTGACTGGTAGCCCCAAACCCCCATCCTGAGTTCCAGGTTTGAGATCCGCAGAGGGGCAAGGACCCAGCTCTATCGTGAGTGAAAGGGAGACGCTGAGAGAGGACTGAGGGGGCCCCCACACAGGTAGATGGATCCCAATAACCCAGTTCTCACCCTGCTGTGGAAGCTGGGCCACCCCGGTACCCACGTGTGTGACTGAGCCCCTCCCCCACCTTCATCCTCTAGGGACCTTTAGAGTCACAGCGTGGTGAGACGGGAGGCTCCTCAGGGCCACATAGAGGGTGCGGCCCTGCTATATCCCCACAGTGGACCCATAGTCCATCCTGGTCACTGACCTCTCACCCCAACCCCCCTTTCCGAATCCCCCATCCTGTTCCCCCCACAATCAGTCCTGGGAAGCCCTGTATGTGGGGGACTGGGGCCGGATGTGATGTCTACTGATTTCGGGGGAGGGGGGGTGTTGACAGAGAGAAGGGCCTCGTTCAGAGTTCCGGGCTTAAAATCAGGGGAGGTGAGAGGGTCCTGCTCTGTTAGGAGTGAAGGTGAGATGCTGAGGGAGGACAGAGATGGCCCCCACCCCAGATAGAGGGACCCCAATAATCCAGCTGTAACCCTGCTGTAGACCCTGGGCCACCTGTGTGAGGCTGAGCCCCTCCCCCCAGCTTTTCCTCAGGGGACTGTAGGAGTCAGAGCCTGGTGAGACCTGGGGCCATTCAGGGCCATAGAGGGAGGGGCATAAAGGAGGAGTGAAAGGCCCCGGTACATCCTGACAGGGGGCCCCACAGTACCCCCCTTGTTCCTGACTCATGCCCCCATCCTGTTCCACCCCTTCTGCCATTCCTGGAAAGTCCCATATGTGGGGGGTTGGACCTGATGTGACTTCCACAGACTTCTGCATGTGGCGGGCTGACTGACAGGCAAGGACCTTGTTCGGAGTTCCGGGTTCAGATTGGTTCAGATTGGTGTAGGGGAGAGGTCCCATCTCTTTTAGGAGTAGAGGTGAGACACTGAGGGAGGACTAGAAAGGCCTTCACCCCAGGTACAGGGACTCCAATAATACAGCCCTTGCCTTGCTGTGGGCCCTGGCTACCCATGTGAGGCTGAGCCCCTCTCCCATGCTCTAAGGGAGTAGTGATAGGCCCCACTACATCCCGCTAGGGGCCCCACAGCCTGTCCTTGTCTACTACCCTTCTCCTCTCCCCTCCCCTCCCCCTAACTTCTTCCTCAGGGGACTGTGGGAGTCAGAACCTGTTGGGATCCAGGATGACTCAGGGCCATAGATGCCAGGGCTGTAACAAAGGAATGAGAAGCCCAGCTACATCCCTATAGCAGTTCCACAGTCTGTTCACAATCCCTCCCACCTCCCCTCCCTCAGCTTCTTCCTCAGGGGACTATGGGAGTCAGAGCCTGGTGAGATTTGGGGTGACTCAGGGCCATTGCGTGCAGGGGTCCAAGCTTCACCAGGCATCAAGGTGAGGGCCTTGAGGGGGAACTGAAAGGACTTCCCACCAAAGAACCAAAGAGACCTGAGCCCAGCATCTACTTTCAGTCCTTGGAGTCCTCAGGCAGGCCTGCTCTGTCCCCAACTCATTTCCGTCTCTTGAGTCTCAAAAATTAAGGGCTTTGGTGGGGACTCGACCCAATACAAAAGAGGGAGGAGTCTCTGGTCTTTTTACTAGTAGCCATGAGGAAGCTCAGGGTGCATGGAGGGTTGACACTCTCCCATGGCTATTGGCCTTGAGAGGCCCCGTGCAAAGATAGCTTGATCTGCCAGGCGGGCCATTTCTGACATTTGTCTGGGGAATGAAGTCTGAAGGTGGTGTGGGCCTTGATTCCAAGAGGCCAGGCTCAGGTCTGCACAGGAGACCTGTCTGGGCTAAGGTGAAGTCCCTGAAATCTAAATCGGAGGCTCCTTACTTAGCATCCCATGCCCCTGCTGTCAGTCCCAGGAGACTCAAGTCAGGGTAGAGGTTGAAGAAGGGAGACAGATGTGACATTGCCTAAATTCCACTTTAGGAATCTGAGAGGCGGGAGGCTTTGCCCAGAGAAGCAAACTCAGGTCAGCAGAGAGAGTACTCGCAAACTACAGGGATCAAGGTGAGTATCCTGAGGGAAGACGGAGGGGACTCTTCACACCTGAACGTGCTAGACCCATCTTTCCCTTACTCTTCTGTCAGCCATGGGAGGATTTGAAGCATGGTGCCTGCATGTGACAGCCCCCCATTTCCATGTCTAGGACAGACGGACTCCACTGAATTTGGTCACCTCTTGGCATCCTTCCTGGGATGCTCTGGGTAGCTGTGACCAGATGTGGGCCCCACACATAACCTTCTGCTCCATCTCAGGGATGTGAACCCTTGTTCTGAGAGTTCGTCAGGCCAGTAGAGGGGTGGGGTATAGGGTCCACAGAAGAAAGGTGAGGGCTCTGAGTTGTCACAGAGGGGACCAGCCACCCAAGAACATTGGGGACCCCAGAGACTGGCCCACCCTCCTGGAAGTGCTGGAGAACCTGGGACTATGAATGTATCTGCCCCCTGAGGGCTCCTCACTTCCTCTTATGTGGGCTCCAGGAACACATGGGGAGACTTTGGTCTGAGGCAGTGTCCTTGGGTCACAGAGGAGGCCCAGGCAGTGCCCAGAGTCAAGGTCAGTTACCAGCCCTGAATGTGTGCCAAGGGCCCTGCCCTCCCCAGAACTCCACAGTGCCCAACCCTACTCACTCACCGTCAGGAGCCATCCCACTTCCTCTTTCAGGTGCTCAGGGGACAGGTTGACCAGGAGGACAGGAGTCCTGGGAGGCCCCTGAGCACCACCTAAAACCACTGACATGCTCCCTCTCTCCCCAGGCTTGTGTATCCCCATAACCCAGCTCCTGCCTGCCATAGTCTTGCTTGCTGTTCCTGACCAGAGCCATCATGCATCACCACAACTATCCCAAGGTTCCACGCCACTCAGTTGAGGAAGGCCTTCAGGCCCAAGGAGAGGCACAGGGCCCTGTGGGTGCACAGGGTGCCAGGGCTCGGGAGGGGGCAGCAGCTGCCCCTTCCTCTTCCACTTTATCCAGTTGCCCCTCCTCCTCGTCTTCCTTCTCCTCTTATTCTCTGATCCTGGACACCACCAGGGAGGTTTTTGCTGCTGGGATGCTGAGTCCTATCAAGGGTCCTCAGAGATCCTTTTCCTTCTCCACTTGCATGAAAGCTACTGCTTCACTTAAATCAGATCAGGGCTCCAGCAGGCGTGAAGAGGCAAGTCCAAGCACTTCTGAGGACCGTCCAGTTGCCAAGACCTTGATTAGAGAAGGCATAAATGACAAGGTTGCTGATTTGGTTCGTTTCCTGCTCCTTAAGTATCGCACAAAGGAGCTGATAACAAAGGAAGAAATGCTGAATGATGTCATCAAAGATTACAGAGATCACTTCTCTGAGATCTTCAAGGAAGCATCTGAGTGCATGAATCTAGTCTTTGGCATTGATGTGAAGGAAGTGGACCCTGATGGTCACTCCTATGACCTTGTCATTGCCCTGGGCCTTACCTATGATGGGATGCTGGATGATTACCAGAGCCTGCCCAAGACTGGCCTCCTGATAAATGTCCTGGGTGTGATCTTCTTGGAGGGCAACTGTGCTGCAGAGGAGGTCATCTGGGAAGTCCTGGGTGTGATGGGGGTGCAGGCTGGGCAGGAGCACTCCATCTATGGGGAACCCCGGAAGCTGATCACCCACGACTGGGTGCAGGAAGGTTACCTGGTGTACCGGCAGGTGCCCTTCAGTGATCCTGTCCGCTATGAGTTCCTGTGGGGTCCAAGGGTCTGTGCTGAAACCAGCAAGATGAAAATCCTGGAGTTTGTGGCCAAGGTCAATGATACCGTCCCCAGTGCCTTTCCTGTGTGGTATGAAGAGGCTTTGAGAGATGAGGAAGCAAGACGCCAAGCAAAAGTTGAAGTCAGACCCAGTTGGGGTGCCTGGCCCCGTGCACTCTGCAGGGCCACAACCAAAAGGCCCTGCCCCAAGTAAAGTTTGAGGAAGATGCTTCACTCTGTCTTGGAAGAAAATAATCACCATTCTAAATCGAGGAGAGGCAGGGTGGAACTTGGGGTATAATATCTTTTTGTATAACTTCTTGAGTGTATGACATTGTTGTGTTAGTGTTCAATATGTGTGACTTAGGATTTTTTTTCTTTATGGTATTTTTGAAATATTTCTTTTAATAGAAGGCTTAATTAACTTCAAGATCTGGATTTACAAATGACATTGCTCACAAATATATTGCCGTTTATTCAGTTTAAATGTTTTGCTGTTATATAATACAAATTGGGAAATCTTCCATTTTATTTTGTGATCTGGGACAAGATAACATAGCATTGAAATAGAAGCTTCCTTGGAAATGTGAAACAAGTCAGGAGTAAAATAAATGGGGTCAAGAAATAGAGAAAAAACTAAATGATATTTAATTTTTACTTTACATTTTTAGTATGTTGTTCTGTAAAATGAAAAATATATGTATCTGGATCTTGTAAGCTTATTCAAGTCAAAATTAAATTATAATAAATGAAACATTTATTCACTGATGAATTCATTCCCCAACCATTCACTGAGCACCTGCCCTTTGGAAGACTCTTAGTAGTAGAGAGACTAGTCTACGCAGCCCCACAGGATGGCAGAGTCTAGGAGCTGCAGTCACATAAGGAAGGTAGTGAGTTGCCTTCTAAGACCTAGAGGGTAAGGAAAAGAGGGTGAGGGGATGGGTCTCCAGGAGAGAGCACTTAATAGTGAATGTGCTAAGCCAGGGAGATTTGGGGACTTTGGGAAACTGGACTTTCCTTCTGTGGGAGTTAGTCACAAGGAAACTGGGCAGTGGCAGCCCCAGACTTTCAGAGAGTGTAACTCACGACTTAGGGCTGAAATGAAAGCTTGGAATGGAAAACTGCCCTAAGCAGTTCCATCTGAATGGTGGCTAAAAGCAGGGAAATGTCCACCTGGGGCAGGTGGGAAGGTGGCCTGCCCTGGTGTCCCACTGTGGTTGAACCCAGCACTATCCCCATTGCCTGTGGGGATTTTCATGTAAATGTAGTGAGGTTTCTTTGAAGTGGTGTCCTCAAGCCTAGACTGATACTCTTTCCTGGTCTGGGAAAGCCAGAGCAGACTTCCTTAGGATATTTTAATTAGGTTCCCTTTAGTGTCATTTAAACAATTCTTAGCAAGGGCTAGATTTGGGGTGGGAGTGAAAAATCATGGGTTGGAAGGAAAAGCAGCTGGGGGGGAGGACTTGGTCTTGGACTCAAATTCCAGGATTCAGACCTGCATCCAGCTGGGCAGGACTCCCCCACACTCAGATTAAATAATAGATTCTCTTGGAGTGAAGCTTCACTGAGTTGTATTTACAAAACAATATTTTTGACTGATTTGATATTTTGTGTCGTCTTGCATTACCTATTGTCAGATCTGAAAAAGAAAAATACATTTTTCAGAGGAGAAGGTGGTAGGGTTTGGAAGGAAATAATACTAGAAATAACTGCCAATCTTATAGAACCGGGACACAGGTGGTTTTTCATGTGTTTTGCACATTCCAAGGGTCTTACAGGACAGAGCTTATCAAACTCATGTCAGGTAAAGAACTCCTTATTCACAGGGCTTGGTCATGTTCAAGGGTCATATGGCTAGTACGTGCTGGGGCTGGGACTGGATGTCTGGCCTGAATCCCCTGGAGCCCATAACCACGCCAATCCTGCTCCTGCTGGTCAGCATAAGGCTAACCTCTTGGTTCCACTTCATTTCTCCTCTCAGCATTGCCTCACAGCCCCCTGGGACACAAAGAAGGCCCTGAGGGCAAGCTCCTAAAGGCAGGTTGAAAGGAGGTGACAGCAAGACTCACATGCCTTTGGGGTTCTCTGTGGTTTGTTCCTGGAGAGCTACTCTGCACAGGTGTGGGCATCTGTTTCTAGTCCCAACACTTTCCCACATTACAATGTGCTTACTCTGGTGCCCCACGTGTCCCTTCTGACTCGGGAACCTGCCCTGCTGACGGGTGACTTGCTGGTCCCTATGGACTAGCCCAGAGACACCTGCTCTCCTCCTAAGAAAGTGCATTCCTTCTCCCTAGAGAAGCCCTCTGGCTGTCCCATCTCTCATTCTGGAACCCCTATGACCTCAACAACCCTTTTGACATGAAAATTCGCATGAGGACAATGCCTTTTAGAGACCTGGTTACCTATCTGGTTATCTCCCACACACTATTTTCCAAATGGGCTATGAGTACAGTATGATTTGGAATATGTTTGTTTGGGGGATATAACCCTGAAGTTAGAGGGGTTTGAAACCACCATGATACAGAAATCAGATTTAACAGGGTATCTTATTTACAGATGAATGGTTAAAACTCAAAGCCTCCCTCATGAATATTAGATGAGGAGAGACTTTAGAAATCTCTATGAAGCAAACATCTACTGAGGCTGAATTTCTAAATGTCTCAAATCCCCCAAGAGGTGAAAGTGATTCCTTGGGTCATCTCTGATAAAAAAGAACAATTAACCATCTACCGCCTCCTATCTGGCTTCTGCCCACACGAAAAGACTGGTTTTCAGCACTCCTGTACAGGTGTTCATGCAGTCATGTGGAGGCTAGCAGAGACTCAAAGGTTAGGATTTTGCCCCAGCATCCAAGGGAAGGAGAAAATTCTCAGCGTCCTAAGATTAGAGATGTTATTACAGAGGGAAGTGCAGAATAATGCATTGAGTGAAGAAAGTGAACCCTTCCTGCTAAAATGTACAATCACTTGAAAATTAGACATGATCTTGTATTTGAAAGCACCTGTCACACAGTAGATTTTGAAAATTTGAAGAACTTCAAGGGAAATTTGGCCTTTTCAGAAACTTTCCTAGAAATGAGAAGGGTTGTGTCATAAGTTAGAACCCTGGCTTTTTGCTGAGCACCTACTATGCAACAGTTTATGGGAGAGATTATAGTACTCGCCCACACCTTGCCTTCCTCTCCTTCCTGGACTTGTGGGAGCACTGCAAGTCCACTTGCAATGAGGAAGGGTCAAGTTGAATCGTGAGCAGAAGCCTTGTTTGTCCTGTCCAGGAACTGGCGGATCAGCTCATGTTTCCACACTTTCTCCCTCCTTTCACAGCAAACAAAGCAACTCCATGACAGATGGGGGATCAGGAGGGTGCGGAGGCTCACTCCTGTGATCCGAGCTCTCTGAGAGACCAAGATGGGTAGATTGCTTGAGCTTAGGAGTTCAAGACCAGCCTGAGCAAGAGCTAGGTCCCATCTCTAAAACCAGCTGGGCATTGTGATGGGCATGTGTAATCTCAGCTAGGGAGGCTGACACAGGAGGGTCACCTGAGCCCGGGAGTTTGAGGTTGCAGTGAGCTACGATGATGCCACAGCACTCTACCCAGGGCAATAGAGTGAGATTCAGTCTAAAAAAAAAAAAAAAGAAAGAAAAGAAAGATGAGGTATCACAAGGAGGAAGCAGCCTTTGTTGCTACTCAAACTATTTCTGTTGTTGGGTCTATATAAATACTTCAATTAAAAAGTAATTTTAATTAATTAATTACTGTGCATATTCTTACTGTAAAAAGTTCTAAAAGTACAGATAATTCACAGTTTTCTCCCTTTATATAGTTAAGCTCCCTCATGAACACCACAAGTAACAATTCAGTGTGTCTTACTTTAAAGCTGACTTTAAAATTTTCATTGACAGATACACTATATAAATATATTGTTTTCATTAATATACATGAATAGTGATGTACATGCTTATCTGCCAGTAGCCTATGTCACTTCATAAAGTGGACACAGCATCTTTCCATGACAGTGCATATGGCTCTTCCTCACTTTTGAAAGTATTTTCTAGAACTCTACAGTAGGTATATACGCACTGTAATTAACTAAAGTATTTCTTCTTAGGACACACACGTTGTTTCTCATTAGCTCTATCGTGAATCAAGTGAAATCAACATCTTTAAATATGACAGTGGTTCTCCATATGACCTTCCTACTGCCGAGACTCTTTAATACAGTTCCTCATGTTGTGGTGATCCCCAACCATAAAATTATTTTTCTTGCTACTTCGTAACTGTAATTATGCTACTGTTGTGAATCATAATGTAAATATCTGATATGCAGGATGTATTTAGGCAATCCTGTGAAAGGGTCATTTGACCCCCAAACGGGTTGCGATCCACAGGTTAAGAACTGCTGAAATATGAACTCTTGGGCAACCATGAAAGTTTTCTTATAAGAAAAACATTAATGTGGACACTGAGTTAAAATGAAAAGAGTGCAAATAGTTTAACATTTCATAAATATAAATATTTCTAAAACTTTATTCCAAAAACTCTGTACCAATTCACATTCTCATAAAGTCATAAATGCTTAAAACCTCTGAAATGTCAACATACTTTTCCCTTTTGAGAAGGAAAGAGTTCATCAGACTGAACAGAAGCTGAGGAAGGAGAGCAGACAGGACAGCTCAGTGAGTGAGGGGTGTTGGGGGGATCCAGGGGAGAGCAGTGTCCGGAGTCTGTGAGAGGGACCACATGCAAAGCCAGGCCACAGAGCCCCAGGCAGGCTGGCACTCAGTTCTGCCTCCAGAGATCAGCCCGGTGGGGAGGACCCGAGGGAGAGAAGGAGGAGGGAGGACAGGAGGAGGCACATGAAGAGGCTTGGGGAATCCTGGGACCATCATCCCCAGCTGGAAGCTGCAGTGCCATCTGAGGGAGTGGGACTACTGTGTGGATGCAGACATCACAGCCCCCTTAGAACCCCCAGTTCTGTCGGGAGGAGCATAGATGCTCCCCGGGTGAGTACCCTGAAGTCCCCTGACCACTCTGGGGGTCCAGTGCGGCCTTGCCAGGGACCCAGGCTGAGAGCTGTCTTGATGTTTTGGGGGGCAGGGTTTTATCCCCTCTGTACCCCGGGCCTCCTCAAACCCTGCTGTGTGAGTGGGTGAGTTGGTGACTGAGCTGAAACAGGCAAGGAACCAGTGAATGGCAGAAAGCAGCAGT